AACCCAGCCGTTGTACGATATAAGTTGCACCGAATGTAAAGCGAGGCAAGGTTACCCTGTTTCTCGTGAGGCGATCAAAGTCCAAGGTGCCTGGACAATGCGAATTGTGCCCCTAGGGAGGACAACAATTCTAATGTTCCCTACTGGAGGGCACACATCTCTGCTAAGATGGCCGAAGGGATCGACACTTTGCAATCCCTGTACTCGCGTTCTACAGGTTGTTTTCTGATGGCCCTTCTTCAAAGCAGTCGATGGGTCTCTTCATATTGTTTGACGAGACCTGAAAAATTAACAATCAGCCGGGCGCGAGGCTCCCTGACGTCCCAGGCTGGTGGATAGCCGTGATAGCGGACGAGGTAACTCGTCCGGACGCCATTCAAGTCGCGGTGGTTCAATGTAAGCTCCACTACAAAGCGATGACCATCGCCTGAATCATTCAAAGGATGTGGTAGGGGCGGGAACAACTGACCGGCTCGAGATTTGGAACAGCTTAATGTTCAGGAACTGAACCGTGAAACGGATCATTTACACGATGACTTGGCTCATAAACGGACTCGGCGCTATGAGCTTCATGGAATTGTAAAGGACAAATTATATTCCTTAGCGCACGATCGTTCGAACGATCGCGCTGCGTTTGCGTTTGCGCAACTTGATAGTGAACGCTCAATTCGTTCTCTTCGTGACGAGCTGACTGCAGCTTGTCAGGAGATCGCTCAACTGCGTGAGCAGTTTGCTTCGTTAGTCGACCAGACTGGCTCGTAGAAACGAGACCACTAGAAGGTGGTCTCGGCCCTTGACTATGGTTGTGATCTTCGCCTCTCGAAATTGTCTCGTACTGATAGTACGGGCGGAGATGTCCTACGCAAAACGTAGGATGCGTATGCATCTTACGGGGCAGTTCGATCGTGTATGCGTTGCCCATGCGGCTCAATACACAAAATGGACAAATTTAATTGAGCAGTAACTTAATGCTGCCCACGTTTGTCACTGCGTGTTTTAATAGATTTACTGTTGACAGTAGTATTAAGTCTCTTTCATCAAAACAACGGACATTCGTTCTTCCATGTTTTTCTGCATTTTTTCTGCTTATCTATTGCATCTGAAACAGAAATCCAAATGAAGCGGACAACCGCTTCACGAGTCAGTATAAATTCCTCTGCTGACTCATCCTTATTAACAGTAGTTCTCTTCGTGTGCACTGCTGAAAGAACGTGGTCTTTATCAGTGAGGGTTACATCTTCATCACTATAGCAGCCAGTAGCTATGGTAAAATTACCATCATCATCATATCCAATGTCGATGTGATTGACATCGGCATCCATCACGTCGAAAATGATGTCGACGTGTGATGAGCAAGAAACAGATCGATTCTTGTTCGAGCGAGTCCACCCTCCCTTAAACTAGATTCATACTCTAGGAAGGTGGTTAAACGTGAATGACGTAGGCCATTTACGAAGAACAGTGTGTGCGTTCTCGACGCATGGACCGAGTTGTTGATGGCAAATTCCTCCATAGCAAGAATTCACTCCAACTCGTACACGAGGGAAATACCCTCTAAGTATCTCTTCGAAGACGCGGTTGATGCGTTCCGTCTGAACATCTGTTTCTGGATGGTCATAAGTCGACATCGTTAAACGTGTTCGAAGTGAACGTAACACGACTTGTCAGAACTCCGCTGTGTAGCGGGGGTCCTATGAGACACGAGTTCATGGGATAAGCCGTGAAGTCGGAAGATTGTATCAATGAAGACACGAGCACAGCCCTGGGCTGTGATTGACTCCGGTACAGCAACAAGATGTACCACCTTGCTGAAGTTATCAACAAACACAAGAATACTAATATTCTTGTGAACGTCTTTGGGAAACCCGAAGACGAAGTCCTTCGATACGGACTTCCAGCACTCTGCCGGAATCGGTAGAGGCTGCAAGGGTGCACGGGATAAAGGACTAGGCTTCACCCGTTGGCAAACTTTGCAAGCGCGAACGCATTTGCGCACAAAGTCAAACTGGCGGGGCCAGCAGAAGTCACGACTTGCCATGAAGTAAGTCTATTCTCTACCGCGAAGCTTACTTGTTGGGGCATTGTCACACTCACACATGATGCGCAATCGCACATCATTGTGAGCCGGAACGACGACACGAGGTGTGTCGCCGTTGACTGCTGTATTGTACAGCAGTCCATCACGAACTGAATGCCGTTTAATTGAAGAGCGGTATTGAGACGACAAGCTTTTTAAAGCTTGACTGCATGGATTAAAGACGTAATTTATCAATAGCAAAAGAGACTCATCTTCTGTGTAGGCTTTTCACACGTCATCGAGCAGATCCGACAACGGAACACTCACTGTTAGTGCCGCGACAGAAGTATCATCGCTACTGTTGAGTTAAGGAGTCGGCTCGAAAGAGGACCAACGCGAAAGAGCATCAGCGACGACATTAAGTCGTCCTGGTTATACTACACGGAGAAGTCGTACTCCGCGAGGAAAGAAATCCACCTCGCCATTCGTTGCGAGAGGTGTGGACTGTTTACGGCCGTGCGTAACGACGCATGGTCGGTATAAATGATGAAGGGCCTATCTTCTAAGATATAAACCCGAAATTTAGCCAGTGCGTACTTCATGGCAAGAAGTTCCTTGTCATGCACTGAGTAATTACGCTTAGCTGATTGCATCTGACGCGATTGATAACAGACGACGCGCTTAACGCATTTTGAGTCGTACAACATCAACGCGCAGACTTTTGCACAATTGCTGGCGTCACAGAGCACATGGATGGTCTATCCTGATCTGCAAATGCCAACACAGGTGGCTGCACCAAGCTTTTCTTGATGCCTTTCAAAGAGTGCTGACGCTCAGCACTCCATATCCACCTCTCGTTCTTCTTTAACAGACGAGAGAGATGAACGGTCATCTCGGCTCAGTTGCGCGAGTACTCGTGCAAGAACGACGCTTAGCCAAGTTCATTCGAATAACCTTGACGTCGAATGGCACATGCCAGTCGCAAATTTCCTTGATCTGTTATGGATTAGGGCGTACACCGTTTTTACACATGATGCAGCCAAGTAGTGGTATTTTCTCTAGCTGCCAATATACACTTCTTGAGGTTTGCGAATCACTTATGCTCACGCATAAGTGCAAGAACCTTCCGGAAGTGATTCTATGAACCTCCACGTCTGTCTTTTTATCCATAGCCAGGCTATGGACAAAGACATCGTCGAAGCAACTCGGTGCGAAATCGAGCACCGATCGCAACAGGTTCTTAACACATCTGTTAAACTTTGCGGGGGCGTTACTTAGCCCCTGTGGAATCACTAGGCACTTTTAGAGCATACAGCGGGGTGTGCTTACTGCTGTGTAAGGGATGTCCCGGTCACGCATACTCTGATATAATCCATCCATCAGATCCATGGACGAAACGATGGTACACTTTGCCATACATCTATGATGACGTCCTTTCTTGGGATCGGCGTTTGAACGCGTGCACTATCCGCCACCACACTGTGGATTTTTGCACACAGAGGTTCGGAGAGCTATGTGGGGATGTTGATTCCCTAACATGACCAGCCGCTAAGCGATCGGCAATGAATTTGTCGATCGCAAGTACCTGTTCGCGAGGCATTGGCCACTGCTTCATGACGCAGTACTTTGAACCGGATTCTAGTTCGATCTCATGCCGACTTCCTTTGTCCTTGGGCAGCTTGCATGGCACGGATGCAGGTGAAAATCCCTGAATTCGACCAAATCCTTCTACAAAGGATTTGTCTTCAAAGACTCCCGAGATTGAGACGTGTATCGCTCAATCCGAGTCTTTTCATTAAAGACACCTCGTCCATCGATGAGCAACTGAGAAACTGTTCGTTCTCAGTGAACACTTGTTTCGACCGAATATCGGCGACGTTCTCGTCCTCTTTGACGAGTACACAGATCTGCTTGATCTTTTGACTACGCAGATCTCGCAATAATTCTTCAGATTCTAGCGTTGACAACTTGACCACCTCCGAGGCTGACATCAAAGGTGTAACCAGATCCAGTGTATAAGCGCCTACACTTGATCCGTCATTCATCAAGACATTCACTGTCTCGGTGATCCCCTGGGATGACACATCCGCAGGTGGTTGGGGGTCCACATCCTCAATATAATTCTCTCGGGAGTTATCACTCCCAGGAACGCTAAAACTTTCTGCCAATACGTATACTGACTGTGAATGCACTACCACAGTCACGTCCTCTTCGATCGACTCTCTTTCAGTCGATCGGGATTGCTCTACGACCGACTCTCTGTTAGTCGATCTCGCTTAAACGTGTAATTTATCCTGAACAACGCTAATCTCTCTTTTCGGGTGCACCCTCCTTGGTGTGCATATGTGTTCCAGTCCACTCGATCTCTTCGATTGGTGAACCTTCGGCGCAGACTGTGTCTCTACACAGGTGCCGGAATCTGGTTCCACAGTGTAGTGTCCTTCTACACTGTGATCTTGTGCAGTCGTACTAACGGCCGTACTACAAGTGAGGCCATCCCACTCACTCGTATTACATCCACATGTTTGTGGACGCTCTAAGACTTTCATCAGATTGCCATCAGATGAACAAACGGCAGGCATCTTCACGGATCGATGCTGCCAACTATCCCGTGGCTGGTACTTTCCAAGCCATGGCAGACAGAGGATGACATCAAATTTGTCATCCAAAACTACTACAATGAATTCATCATCGTACTGCTTTCCTTCTAGCGTGTATTGGATTCCTACTACACGTTTGTTCACTGTTACGGATGTGCCTGAAGCAAGGAACGCCGTCATGCTCGTTGAGGGGATCTCTCGCTGAACATAGTTGAGTCTAGTATATTCAAGCTACTGGTTTCGAATAAAACTGTTCGACGCCCCACAGTCAACCAGGGCGCGAAGTGACAGTCCACTTGTCACTTCGATCTTTAAAGTGATATAGGACGCCTCATCATTAGGGGCAGCAACACACAGCGACTGTGTGTTGGGAGCAATCTTCGTCAAGAGTCCTGCAAATTCTCTTGACGTTGCTCGATCATCAGGGTGCTCCGCCCCTTATGACCCTGTCCATTTTTTTGGCGGTCCAACTTGCTGTCGTGGCTTAGCGACATGGTTGGACCCACGAATTGGATCTTTCCTTGGCCAATGGTGGTCATCACGTCACGTCCTGTATTTGGACGTGTTGCGGTGTTTGGGGCAATACACTCATGAGCGTAGTGTCCAATCTTCTGACAGCGATGGTATCTTGCCGTTCGCTTGTGACTCAGAGAGCGAAAGTTCTCGCTCTCGATGTAACAGAGGTCCATTGGTTCGGGACCTCCTGTTTCCTGTCTTCTCAATGGACGATAGTTTGACGAGTTAGCCTGAGACTCTCTCAGGCTGAAGTCTTCTTGTTTCGCATACGCTATCGACTTTCCCAGCGTAAGGAAGTCCTCTTCGAGCATGTACGTCTTCACCGTCCCATCCACAAGGCCGTAGATGAACACGTTGATGAGCGTGTGCTCATCAACAAAGTATCCCGTGACGCTACTCGCAAGGTAGCGCAGGTGTTGTGCAAAAGCGTGCACATCACGCTTACCCTGTTTGAGCTTCAAGAGTTCGGTTCGAGCTCTGAACTCAGCTCTAGGCGGTTCAAACGTTTGTCTGAGCCGCGACTTGAAGACTTCCAACGACCCAAACGCATATGGGTCGTGCAACTTGAGCCCCAGTGCCCAAGTCTTGGCACGTCCTGCCAGATTTGACTGGGCAAATGCAACTTGCATATCCCCGTCGTCGATGCGACGCGCCCTTATGGCGTCGTCTAATTCGACGAACCATCTCAAGAGGGAGTCGTCTTCGACTCTCCTATACTTGGAGATGTCAATCTTCAAAGTCTCGGGTCGACGCGAGTGCATCGACCCACCAGCAGCAGCCTGCTGATGTCTCAACAGTTCAAACTGTTGAGCACCCTGTTCTCTTAACAACTCTGCTTGTTGAGAACCTTGTTGGTGAAGCAAGGCTACTTTCTCGCGTTCAGCGTCAAGTTCATTTTGAATGAACTTGGCGATAGTAGCACGTTGGGCATCTCTATTGAGAGCCTCTAGCATGACGCTAACAGCATGGACGCCCATGGTTGAACCCATCCGTTCAACCGCATCCCATCCGACATCGCTCAAACGGGAGTAGTCGTCACGCGTAGCGTGAAAGCTTTGGTCATCTTCATCATCTAACATGTTCATGCTACATGTGAACGTGGTCCTTGGACGGACTACGAAGTGCTACCAGGAGTAACGGGGCACCCTGAAGCTTGTACAGACGACAGTACACGCTACCTATTCTGATGACAGCATAAGGCGGTGCCTCGTAACTTCACGTACACTCGTACGTGCAGAGGAAGACGGTAAGAAGAAGCGAGTACTTGGTTAAAGTAAAAAGTAGAACTGTATTTATCATAGTTAATGTCTGTTAATAAATCACTATTTATCCTCATCTAACTATGTCTAAATGCAAATGTGTATATCAACTATCTGCTCACCACTCATTGCGTGCGTCTGTCGTGGCGCGTCTTCGTTGGTTGATATAATGGCCTATATCAACCAATTAGGAACTACTCGTAAGTGCTGCAGAATATTTGTCCTTATGACAATATTCTGAGACTATAACTCTTATAGTTATATTCTATTAACAAACTCTTACAAATTGTTGTGTAACGATTCACCCCGTTACATCACCCCCCCTCTTAACCATCAGTCACTTTAGTGACTGATTGACTAAGTGGATACTCGTCCCAAATCATTTGGGACAGGGTTTGCACTTGTCGGTCCGAATCCACTTTCCAACAATTCATCGCATGGTTAACAAGCCCATGCGATGCGCGAGCAAGGCCGCCGAGAGCGCGTTCGCACGTCTCTGTGCGGACGCCGAAGCAGAAACCACAGCAACTGATGTCTCATCGGTTGCTGAAGCGACTCAGCCTGTGTCACCTGGTGATGCAGGCGCTTGTTACGACGAAACTCATGTCTTCACAGAGTATGAGCTCGGTGTCTCATACTCTCCTGATTCGGAAGACGGATTCCGTATCGACGGCGATAAAATCCAAGCCGCCTGCCAAGCGTGGCACGGACGATGCAATGCGTCGCAGCATCTTTGGTTCATCTGATGAATCAGATGAACCATCGCTAAAGCGAAGACGCTCGAAGTCACAAGACTCGGGCGCTAACAGTGATGTCGGTTCTCCTATTGACACCACTTCGCAAAGAGGCGCCAGTACTTCTGTCGGCAAGTCGCAAGAAGAGAAAGACCGCAGTGTGTTGCGTCTCGCTCCCGAGAAGAAGGCATGGCTGCCTCCAAAATCCGTCATGGATCACTTGTCGGCGACGACGAGTGATTGTTATCGAACACGGTTGTTCGATCTATCAAGGATCCATCACCTTGACCCCAGTGCGAAAAACTATCGCGCTGAGAATGATTTCTTCATCGATGCTTTCTTTAGACATCGATGGTACAGTGGGAATCACAGGCGCGATGGTCCCTCACTGCTTCAAGCGTGGAGCGCCTACATCCAGAACCTTGAGGATGTAGGTCGTGACGCTTGGAACGACAAACTTATCAAAGCTCGTGATAAGTTTGAAAGGCGAACCCCGACAGGTGCACGCTACAAGCTGCATCGTCTGTCTAGGGAGAAAGGGTTACCCTGCCTTTCCTGGGGAGACTCGTGCCCATGCTGTGTGAACAACTCTGCACGAGCACCTAAGGAGGCTGACCTCCTTACCAGCCCGTGGTGGTGCGTACGTATCTCAAGTGAGATGTACGAAAGTATTGACAGCCTGAAATCCCTTTACGACCGTGCCGAAAAGACTTTCTCCAGCGGTCCTTCTGCGGCACAGGATGTGCCGCATCGTACTGCTCGACCAGACCAAGTACGTCAACCATCAGTTGGGAGCGGGGCTCCCGAGTATCCCAGGACGGGGGATAGCCGCGCCACCTGACGAGATAACTCGTCCGACGTCCGTTCACGTCGCGGTGGTTCAACAGCTGCTCAACCAGATAGCGCTGGCCACCGCGAGAGTCCTCTAATAGAGGTGGAGGAGGAGGGAAGACGCTCTCCACACGATCATGTGGATCGGTGTGTTCCCGAGAGCTTCTTTGATCGCGTAACGTAAGGGTTACGCGGCAATCTCGAACATGAGCGGGACGGGTGTCTCCAACTGGCGGACACTGTCTTGAAGCATCGATCTGAGTTTGCCTTTGCTCAGCTTGAGAACGAGAGAGCTCTGACGTCTCTGCGTGACGAGCTAGGGTAGCTCGTGGGAATGATGATCGGTCTCGGGCTAAGATAACTGCTCTTCAGACCCTTGTCGAAGCCCAACATCGGGAGCACAAGGCTCTCTGCGAGATGCTTGAGCGCAAGGGCGTTCTTCATCGGAAGAAACAGCGTACTGATGGTACGGATAAAGCCGAGCAACGTAAAACGTGGGATGCGTTCGCACCTTACGTGGCAACTCGATCGTGTTTGCATTGCCTAGGCGGTGCAATACACGAAATGGGCCGATGTACTTGGGTAGTAGTTTACTGCTACCCAAGTTAGTCACTACATGCTTTGGTAGATTGACCGTAGACAGTAGGACTAAGTCACCTTTACCAAATAAAAGAGTGTTTGCCCTTCCATTCTTGTCAGCGTTTTGCTTTTGCTTATCCACCGCTTCGGCGATGGAGTCTTGCACAAAACGGACTACCGTTTCACGAGCCAGTATGAACTCATCTGATAACTCTTTAGCTTCAGTGCGCTGTGAGTGCACTGCATCAACATCAATCTTTTCTTCAGTGAGGGCTTCCGCACTCTCACTGGCATCATCTTCTTCGATATCGATGTTATCGATATCGGCATCAAACGCAATGACCTCTTCGTCAGAGCGTGATGAGCGTGAACCAAATCGGTTTTTGCTCGCGCGAGTCCCCCCCCCTTAAACCAGAGTTACACTCTATTAAGGTGGGTACACGCGGATGGCGCAAGCCATTCACGTAAAACGGTGTGTATGTCGTGGACGCATGCACCGAGTTGTTAATGGCAAGCTCTACCATTGGCAAAAACTTACTCCAACTCTTAAAGGAATTTACGCATCCTCGAATAATCTCTTCGAGGACACGATTGGCTCGTTCCGTCTAACCATCTGACTCTGGATGATCAGATGTCGACATCTTCAAGCGTTCCGAGTGATTTGAACACGGAACGCCAGAAATCAGCAGTGAATCGTGGATCTCTGTCTGATACGAGTTCACGGGGCAACCCATGAAGTCGGAAGATAGTGTCAATAAAGATACAAGCACAGCCACGTGCCGTGATTGACTCTGGTACAGCCACAAGGTGTACCATTTTGCTGAATCTGTCAACAAATACAAGAATACCCGTATTCCCGCGTGCTTCTTCGGGTAACCCGAAGTCAAAATCCATTGAGATGGATTCCCAGCACTCAGTCGGAACCGGTAGAGGCTGTAAAGGTGCACGCAGTGAAGGACTTGACTTCACTCGTTGACAGACTTCGCATGCGCGAATGTACTTGCGCACAAACTGATACTGGCGGGGCCAGTAAAAGTCTCGACTCACCGTGAGATAGGTTTTCTCCCGGCCACGATGTCCTCCTATAGGAGCATCGTGATACTCGAACATGATCCGCAAACGCAGATCAGTATCATCTGGAATGACAACACGTGGTGTGTCACCAGAAACGGCTGTATAATACAGTAACCCGTTGCGAGTAGTGTATCGATCTGATGCAGATCGATACGCAGACGATAATCGTTTCAACGATTCTCGAGATGGCTGTGAGAGATGTGTCAACAACTTCACAATCTCACCATCTTGAGCATACGCCCGCCTCACATCATCATATAACGTTGAAGATGGTATGGTGTACGTCATAACCGCAACAGTGGCTGTCTCACTGTTGGGGATTCACGACTGGTTCAAAGTCGGGACGACGTGAGAGTGCATCATCGACGACATTAAGTCGTCCTGGTTTGTACTCTACCGTAAAGCTGTATTCTGCAAGGAATGACAACCACCGCGCCATTCGTCGTGAAAGGTGCGGGATGTTCACTGCCGTGCGTAGTGACGTATGGTCAGTGTAAACAATGAAGGGTCTATCTCCTAATATATAGATTCTGAACTTCGCGAGTGCATACTTCATGGCAAGGAGTTTCTTGTCATGCACTGGATAGTTCCGCTCATTGGTTGCAGCTGACGCTACTAATAGCAGACGACGCGTTCAACGCCTTCAAGGTCGTACTGCATTAATGCACAGCCGATTGCGAAATCGCTGGCATCACAAACCACATGAAATGGCCTGTCCTGATCGGCTATTGCTAGGACTGGGGGTTGTATTAAGCTCTGCTTGATACCATCAAAGTAGCGCTGACATTCAGCGTTCCATAACCACCTCTCGTTCTATTCAACAAACGAGAGAGGTGCACAGTCATCTCGGCGTAATTGCGTCATTACTTGTGCAAATACGCCGCTAGCCCAAGGAATTTTCGAAGACCTTTGACATCAACCGACACAGGCCAGTCGGTGATCGCTTTGATCTTTTCGGGATCAGGACGTACACCGTTCTTATGAAGGATGCACCCAAGAAGTGGTATTTCGCTTGCTGCAAATATACACTTCTTGAGGTTTGCATACAATTAATGCTTTCGCATGATTGTAAGAACCTGTGGGACGTGGTACCTGTGAACCTCAACGTCCGACTTTCCATCCATAGCTCGACTATGGATGAATACGTCATCGAAATAGCTCGGCGCGAATTCTCGTGCTGGTCTCAACAGATGTGATACACATCTGTTGAACGTGGCATTGGCATTACTAAGCCCTTGTGGCATTACTAGCCATTCCCAGAGCATGCCGCTAGGCGTGCTAACTGCGGTATAGGGTATATCCCGTTCTCGCATAAGGATTTGATAGAAGACATCCATCAAATCCATGGACGAAAAGATGGTACTCTTTGACATACCATCAATGATTACGTCCTTCCTCGGTATCGGTGTCTGAGCCGGTACCGTTGCAGCATTCAACTTATTAAATGCATGCACTATCCGCCACCCTCCTGGTGCTTTTCGCACACAGAACGTCGGAGAGCTATGTGGGGAAGTTGATTCCCTCACATGGCCCGCAGCTAAACGATCGGCAAAGAACTTGTCGATCGCAAGTACTTGTTCACGAGGCAGTGGCCACTGCTTCATGACACAGTACTTCGAGCCTGGTTTAAGCTCGATCTCGTGTCGAATAACTTTATCCTTCGGTAGCTCGCACAGAACAGTTTCAGGGAATACATCCTTGAATTCAACCAAATCTTCATAGAGAGGATTTGTCTTGAGCGATTCCCACGATTGGGAGTCATATCGCTCAATTCGTGTCTTTTCATCTAGAACATTCTCGTCCATAGATGAACTACTGAGAACTCTCTCGTTCTCAGTAAACACTGTTGCTGACCTTATGTCGGTTACACACTCGTCGTCAGCGACGAGTACGCAGATCTGCTTGACTTTGCCACTACGCACATCACGCAAGAACCTTTTATGTTCGAGCGTTGGCAACTGAGTGATCTCCGAAGTCAACTTCGGAGGCGCAATCAGATCAAGTGTATAAGCGCCTACGCTTGATCCGTCATTGACTATGACATTCAATGTATCTGTCATTTCCTGGGGACTTATTCCCTCAGGCCTCGAAGGACTTATTCCTTCGGCTTCCCGAGAACTTATTCCCGCGGGTTTCGGGGAACTTATTTCCGCCGTATTTGTAATCTTGGGACTTATTCCCTCAGCTTCCTTTAGCTATGGTTGCGCAACCACAGCGAGATCCTCTACGAAAGACTCTCCAGTCGATCTAGGATTATCGTTTCGCTTAACCTGAGCGATCGATAGTTTCTCTTCTAGATGTTCCCCGCTAGGGATACATCTTTGTCCCAGTCCACCCGACTTATTCGAGTGGTGGACCTTCGGCGCAGCCCGTGTTTCCTCACAGCCGCCGGAACTTTGCCCCGAAGTGTAACCGTTTGGTACACTAAGGTTTTGTGCAGTCGTACTAACGACTGTACCACAAGTGAGGCCATCGCACTCACTCGTAGTACATCCACACGCTTGTGGAAGCTCCAAAACGTTCATCAGATGACCATTGATGAACAAGCGGCAGGCATCGTTACTGTTCGATGTTGCCAGTTTACCCGTGGTTCGTACCTTCTGAGCCACGGTATTCCAAGGATGACATCAAATTTGTCATCCAAATCCAATACGATAAAGTCATCGTCATATTGGATATCTTCTAGCGTATAGTGGATCTTCACTATACGCTTCATGACGGTTACGGATGCGCCTGTCGCAAGACGTACCGTCATTCTCGTAGGAGGTGTGTCACATTCACTGAACATAAAGTGACCATCTTCTAGCGATTGGCGTCGCACAAAATTGTTGGACGCCCCACAATCAACTAGAGCTCAAAGGGACAACTTATTCGTCACTTCGAGTTTCAAGGTAATGAGTGAGATCTCATTACCTAGAGCAGTTACGCACAACGTTTGTGTGTTGGGAGCAACCTCCATCAAGAGGCCTGCAAATTCTCTTGACGTTGCTGGACCAGTAGGGTGCTCCGCACCTACTGATCCTGTCCGTTTTTTGACGGTCCATCCCGTTGTTGCGTCTTTGCCCCAACGGCGGACCCGCGTCCCTTCCCCCTTCTCATGGGTGGACGGTCATTAAGCCCAGTGTTGCGAGACACTAGACGAGGGGCACTACACTCATAAGCGTAGTGTCCTGTCTTCTGACATCTGTTGCATTTCTGCAACTTCTTGTAGTCCGTAGAGCGAGCCTTCTCGCTCTCTACATAACAGAGTTCCATCGGCTCTGGACCTCCGCTGTCATATCGTCTCGGTTGACGATATGATGTCGAGCTGGCGCGAGCCTGTCTCAGACTGATGTCTTCCTGTTCCGCAATGGAAATGGCTTGTTCTAGTGAATCTAGTTCAAGCCGAAACAGGTGAGTCTTAACGGGACCATCCGCAAGACCCTGCATGATCACCGAAACCAACGTGTGTTCATCCACCGGATTTGAACTTATACAACTCGTGAGATTTCGTATATGTTGCGCGTAAGCGTGCACATCACGCTTACCCTGCTTGAGCTTCAAGAGTTCGGTTCGAGCTCTGAACTCAGCTCTAGGCGGTTCAAACGTTTGTCTGAGCCGCGACTTGAAGACTTCTAACGACCCAAACGCATATGGGTCGTGCAACTTGAGCCCCAAAGCCCAAGTCTTGGCACGTCCTGCCAGATTTGATTGGGCAAATGCAACTTGCATTTCCCCATCGTCCATGCGACGCGCCCTTATGGCGTCATCCAATTCGACGAACCATCTCAAGAGGGAGTCCTCTTCGACTCCTTATACTTGGAGATGTCAATCTTCAAAGTCTCGGGTCGACGCGAGTGCATCGACCCACCAGCAGCAGCCTGCTGATGTCTCAACAGTTCAAACTGTTGAGCACCCTGTTCTCTTAACAACTCTGCTTGTTGAGAACCTTGTTGGTGAAGCAAGGCTACTTTCTCGCGTTCAGCGTCAAGTTCATTTTGAATGAACTTGGCGATAGTAGCACGTTGGGCATCTCTATTGAGAGCCTCTAGCATGACGCTAACAGCATGGACGCCCATGGTTGAACCCATCCGTTCAACCGCATCCCATCCGACATCGCTCAAACGGGAGTAGTCGTCACGCGTAGCGTGAAAGCTTTGGTCATCTTCATCATCTAACATGTTCATGTTACATGTGAACGTGGTCCTTGGACGGACTACGAAGTGCTACCAGGAGTAACGGGGCACCCTGAAGCTTGTACAGACGACAGTACACGCTACCTATTCTGATGACAGCATAAGGCGGTGCCTCGTAACTTCACGTACACTCGTACGTGCAGAGGAAGACGGTAAGAAGAAGCGAGTACTTGGTTAAAGTAAAAAGTAGAACTGTATTTATCATAGTTAATGTCTGTTAATAAATCACTATTTATCCTCATCTAACTATGTCTAAATGCAAATGTGTATATCAACTATCTGCTCACCACTCATTGCGTGCGTCTGTCGTGGCGCGTCTTCGTTGGTTGATATAATGGCCTATATCAACCAATTAGGAACTACTCGTAAGTGCTGCAGAATATTTGTCCTTATGACAATATTCTGAGACTATAACTCTTATAGTTATATTCTATTAACAATTTCTTATAAATTGTTATGTAACGATTGACCCCTTTACAAAATGGAGGTGCAGAAGTGTGCGCAGATCTGGACTTTACTCTATACGTCATGCTGACTGTATATCTGGACACGTGTGCCTTAAAGATCAAAAGGGGAATTGAACTTTTTGGTAGCTGTATCTGTAATATACTTCATTCAACCATCCAATACTGAGGATAAACTAATCCACATTGTAATTATTCGTTTTTTAGAAAGAATGATGAATGGCACATCAATTTGTCATCAATGGATGACGGAGGTTATCAACCACATCAATTATCATTAGGTAAAACTAGGGACTGTAAATCACATATACAAGGTAAATCCCCGTAAAGGCGGTAGCGGTCGTGTGACCCCGTTACAACCCACCCACCAGCTGTCGTCACCACAATCTAATAATAAATAACCTTTCATAACATATAGCAAATGATCTCCACCAAGACTAAAAGGTAGCAGAGGGAGGAGCGCATCAGCGATCTATAGTGATCATTGGTGTGAAGCACGTCACGTCGTCAATGTTACGTGCCGTAATTCGCCCCCAAAACGGCATTAACGTTTCAGTGGCAACTAGCTTCGGCAAGATGCTGACTCGAATCCTAATCACCGTGGCCACTGACGAAAGACGGACGATTATAGATGGTTTGCCTGACCTGGCTGCAACTGGATCTCGAGCAATCCGCCTCATACTGCACGTTTAAATGGCTTGGACAGAATTGGGCTGGGGGTGGTTTACACTAAAATTTCCCGCACACGCAAGGGGATCTATGACTTGAATAGGTCGCTGAGGTAGGTAAGTCATTGGGATCACTAATGGCCGGCAGGGAATCTCAGATCTACTTGCTGCCTTTACACAAGGATATACAAACCTGTTGCACCATGCATACACGGTTCTCTAGCTCGTACATTCAAGCATTACGCGGACATGCTTGCCTTGCAAATCAAAGGACAGATGCACAGTAACTAGAGCAGTTTGCACATATCGCGAGTCACAATAGGATCTGTGTCTTTTGGGCATCTTCGAACGACCAAGGCTGATAGACGATCATCGCCCCGTAAACGCGAGACATGAGCAGAAAAGTGTTTTCACGGCTGGTGATCACGCTACACATGTCCAACAGGGCGAGCGCTTAGGTGTGGCACCACTGGAGAACATCAAGCGAAGCGACGCGATAGAAGACCCGTTCTCGAGTCGAAAGGTATCATGCAGTCATCACTGGACCCAACCTCGAAGTAAATAAGCTCCAGTTCAGTGTCTTGCAATGACTCGTGGCCATTACGTCAACCTCAACGATTTCATCAAGTCTGACAATCGCGACGTGAAGATACCGTCCAGACCCTAATCGGTCGCAACATGTGGCAGTCGTGAAGCAAAGAAAAGGCGAGCACTGATTACGGCTTTTCAAGCGTTCTCCTGGACAGCGCTGGCTCTGTGTCTCTCCCCCTTTCCTTCGCCAGCAGCCGAACAGAGCACACGTTCACTCTATACGCCATCAAATCCAAAGTCGCAGTTTATCATCTTTCAAAGTAAGTACGAGGGTAAAATCGAGACGTCGCTTCCTATTGGGTGGGTCGTCAAACAGACAGTTCGCCAGCCAGCAGGGCAGTCAGTCAGTCAGTTCCGAACTGACGTCACGCCCAGCGCCCACACACGCGCCGTCACGTGTGCCACTCCACAGCGCGTCTGCCAGAGCCTTCCGTCCAGCTTCGACGCTCGCAAGTTCAGCTCGTACTCGTGACGCCGCGCAGTTGAGCGACAAGATGCGACCGGAAGTCGAGGACGCGGACGAGCTGCCGCTTGTCCCGAGCAGCCAGCGCCGCCGTCCGCCACGCGGCAAGAACGACGGTGCGTGGCGGCCCTTGTCTCGTTCTCTTTCCCCCCTCTCGCTCACTCTCTCTCTCTCTCTTATGTCTGTATGCTAACTCTATTGCAGTGTGCCGCGTGACAGACCTGGACGAGTACATTTGCTACGGGGACCGCATGGCGTTTCTCTGCGACGGGCAGCTCCTGGCCCTCACGCGCAAGTTCAACTTGACGTACCAGCAGATGGCGCTCTTGGCCACCTCGACGCTCGCCACGTGCGGCCTCATGGGCATCGCTGGCTTCTTCGTGTGGCGCAAAGGGCTGTTCCGCAAACGGTACGCGGCGCTCTTTGGGGACGAAATCTACAATGAAGACGGATTTGCGGCGGCTGTGTCTCGATCTCCAGCGGGAGAAGACGGGGGCGCTCTATTCGGAACACAAGGCGAGCGGAAAAAGAAGCACTCGGGGGCGACTATGACGCTGGGAAACAGTGTGGCAGGAGAGCCAGGCCATCCAGTGGGAGGCCCCAAAGCATCTCATGGCTCTGTGGCCTTTCGACTCTTTGAGTTCGACCCGAAGAAACAGCAATTGGTCTTCTCGAGTGTGGGGTTGCCGGTGAAGTTCGGGACCCCGCTCGTTGTCGTCCACGCGGAAACGGGACGAGCGATCAAGTTCTTGACGCACAAAGGAGCGGTGACGCTCAGTAAACCACCGCTGAATTTGGCCTTCCACCGCCAAGTGCGCGCGAGTCTCGTGGCGATGGAGGAGCCGGCCATGTCGCTGAACTCGGCCAAGAGAACTAGACCCAATCCGCCATCAGCGACGTCCGTGTCTTCGAGTAATTTTAGCAGCAATATCGGCGCAGACACAGGGAAGTCGGGAGCCGTAATTAACAGCGTAAAGGTTAATGACGACGAGCGAGGAGATGAGACCGAAGCAAATGACGAGCCGCTGGCTCCGTCTACTGGCCAAGCAGATTTCATGGCGGATTTGGCTGACGGGAGTCAACATCACGGACAGCCGCAAAGCCAGCAACAAGTGCACGTGCAATCGAATCACTCACGGCGCAGAAATTCGCAGCATACCTCAATTGGCTCGTCGAAGCAACGTCCACGGAGCTGTATGCAGCAACAGTCAGTTCGCTCGACCCAAGACCGTGCTCAGCGTCGTAGCCTTGACCACGCACGATCACAACAGCAGGCAGTCGAATTTGGAGACAACTTATATCGTGTTCCATCTGAAATGGCTGCTGACGCACCTGTGTCGTCTCGCCGTGGGAGTCATCGCGCGTCGGTGTCATCTGCCCCGGCTCTTCACGGCTCGGGTTCTCAAGCGTTTTACCGATCCATTTCAGAGTCATACATGAACATGGTATCGGATATCTCTGATACTCTCCAACAGCAGCGTGGTCGTCAACGAGACCGCCAAGAGTTGAGGAGACGCCAAAAGGAGTTGATGAAGGATTTGCCGAACATGTCGTTTAGCAATCCTTCTGGCAAGTATTTCGTTGCAACTGTTGAACCAGTTCGGCATCAGATTTCCGGCAGCAACTATCACCAACCTGTGGCTCCGCGTGATGAGTACTTGCGCTGGGGGCAGCCCTTGTCACTAATTTCCAATTTTAATGGTCGTGCATGTGGCATTCGTCCCCGTGAGTACTACAAGGACAGCGACTTGTACTTAACAACGGAGGCAACGTCAACGACTATCGTACCGCTACGTGAAGATGGCGATCTGAAGTGTTTGGCGAAGGAGTCCACTCGTTATTTGGCGCATTTGGAAAAGCGTCGCGTGAGTGTGAGCGTGGGCACGTACAACGTCTGGATGATGCCTCGCAAGGTAAGCGCGTTTACGAGTTGTTCTCCTAAGAAGAATACTCGGGCGCGCATGATTGGCGATACACTCCCGCCCTGTGATATCTGGGTATTGACGGAGTGCTTTGACTACCGCGCACGGGATACCCTGCTGAACAAGATGTCGGAGGCTGGCTACTTCTTTTTCTCGCCAACGGTTGGGCACAAGCGCATGAAGAAGTCAAACATGCGTAAATTGCTGAATGGAGGCGTGTTGCTGGCCAGCAAGTATCCGATTCTAAGTGTGCGGGTGAAACTGTTTGAAAGTGCCTGTGCTGGTGCAGATAAGCTGGCAGACAAGGGTATTCTGTATTGCAAGATATTGAAGGACGGGCTGCTGGTGCACGTGTTTTCGACCCATTTGCAGGCGTGGAACGACCCGTTTTCGCGCACAATGCGTAAGACGCAGATGGATTTGGTTTCGAATTTCATGCGCGCAATGGATATCGACGAAGTGAATGATGCCGTGCTGATTGTGGGCGACCTGAATGTCGACTACTGGTTGAGCAAGACGAATGGCGAGTACGACGAGATGTTGGACATTTTTGATGCCACGGATCCGTCGGTCGTGCACTCGCGGAAACTTGCCAATGCGTCCGAGTTGGTAAAGAAAAAGTCTGTGGAGGATTTCAAGCACGTGCGCGGGCACAGCTTTGACCCGCGCGTGAATGCTTTGGCAGCTGACGGCTTGAGCTCGGACGGAAGCTTCGAGTTACTGGACTACATTCTCTACTCGCGTAGCCACCGCCAGCCGAAGACCGCGTCAAGCTGGGTCCAGCCGATAAGCACGTCGACGCCATGGGTATGGCGCGGGCAGCCCCAGTACAATCTGTCGGACCATTTTCCTGTCGTTGGTGAGTTTACTTTTGAGATGTAAATAGTTGGCAAGGCTAATAGTTAGCAAGGCTGATGGGTCGTAGTTGATCGACGGAAGATCGGACCACGCTTGTGTTCTGAGGGGCTCATGGACTGGGCAATTAACAGTCTGCTTCGAGTTTTGAGGTCAAATTGCAAAAATCATAAAATGTGCATAGGAATTTATACTCAGAAGGCGATCGAGATCTAAATTTTACGCTACACAACACCGTCGGTTTGATAGACGAAGGTATGAGTGAGGTTGGGGATGGCCGAGATGTAAAGGTGCCTTTACAGTTGACCTGATTTTCCTCAAGTGAATGTGACTTCGATGGCCTGGCTACGACGATGACCATCGGAATGGATTTTTCCATAACGTTACTCTCTTCTGCGCCCTATACTCAGGCCGCCAGAGCTTTGGAGCCCAGAACTTGCTCATGCTGTGATAGTAGCACCAACGAAGGCCTCAGCGTTTCTGTGCAAGTACTTGACGTCTTTCCCTTCCAGGGGTGGACTGAAGCGACTGACGATCTCTTTGGGCGGTCAGGCAGTCCACTTAACAAACCATCGACTTCGTAAAAGAGGCGTGATGTCGTCGTCACAAACGTTTGTAATTTCCCACTCGAACCACGACCGTTGCACGAGCTGGTTGGTCGTCGAACTTCCGTACAAATCTCGGCGCCCATCGACTAGGCTCGTGCTTTGGAAAGCGCAAATAAGACAACGGTGCGCTAAAGCGACGAGTATCAAATCAGCACATCAATTGTTACAGTCGGGTGGAGCTCAAAAGTCCAACAGGTGTGAACATGTTCCGCCATCTGAATTGACCACGACAACAAAGTCGCAGCGAATCTCAATTCCTTCATTGCATTTGTTATTGCTGTCCATGAGACCTTCCAAAAGCCAAAGGCAGTGCTGGGTGGCTCGTCATCCACCGCACGTTTTGGTGGTTTACTTACTTTTTGTCCATTTCATGGGCGGCAACAGACTGCATCGATGGACTATAGAGTGTTTGGACAGTCGAAATGACGTCAAGCATCACCAGCGTTGAATCAAAGATGCTCCACTAGAAGATCTACGACCAAACGCAAACAGCGGCAAGGTCACGTTGGTACTGGCGCTTCGATCTCGAAGTTCCACGGTCTTTTTCATGGAAATCGCCAACGAACTTGTCACAAGAACTCATTTACTGTACTCAAATGTGCGATACGTAAATGTAGGCGTTACGCAGTGTCCAAGTAAATGAGTGCACACTTTGGTGTGTGCGTGCGCGTGTGGGTGGGTGTTTGGGGCGACGGACCTGTCAAACTGAATATGCGAAATGTGTGTCAGCAATTATAGGTCGCAACGCGTCGCATCGCGCTAGAGCCTCAAAAAGGCACGGCGATGGGGCAAGAAATGTTGCGACATAGCGAGGGATCAAGTTGCCGTGGGGCCCGCCCGCCGTCGTCCCATCAAAAAAACTCCAGAGCCCACTCCCCCGTCCCTGTCGTTTCACGCCCCTCTGCCCTCACAATCGAATCCGCCACGCTGAACGCGGTGGGAAACTGCGGGCCGCCACTTGGACGCGTCGAGTCAGCCGCGGCAGCTGCTTTTGCGCCCCATCCACTCGGTGTCTCGCTCAGAAGAACGACGTCACGCCTCGTCTCGACCGCTTCGCAAACTCCAGTGGAAGCGAGCGAGAGACGCCATTGAGACCGCACCGCGCCGCATGAGCCACGCGCCGTCCGCTCCTCACTCGCGACCGGAACGCGCAGGCAGCGTCGACAAACCGTCGTCGCTCTTCCGCCGCTTCCAGGGCAAGAAGAGCAGCAGCACGGGCTCGAGCAGTTGCCACAGCAATAGCAACAACAACAACAACAGCAGCAGCAGCTATTGCCCGACAGCCATGGAGTCGCTCGCTTCGTCGCAGCCGCCCCCGCGCCATTTGCACCGTCGGATGCTGTCGCGGGACCGTCGACGGCCCATGGTCATTTACTACTCGCCCACGCCCGCCGCCGACTCGACGGAATCGGCCTCGAACAGCTGCACGAGCAGCTGCGGCGGCATGTTCACGGACGGGGAGCTGTCGGACGACGACTCGCCGAGGTCCCGACGCGGCATTAAGGACGGCGACGACCGCTTCGACGCCGACTCGAGGGTGCCCGACTTTGCCGCCAGCACGGGGTCGAGAGACACGACGACGTCGCGTCATCGTGGTCCCGGGGGCGCGTTGTCGCGCATGTCGCAGAGCTTTGGCCGCGCGTCGGAGCGACTGGACTCGGGGGCCGAGGGACGACGCGAGTTCCGTCGGGCCGTGCGCCAGAGCGCCAAGTACGACGTGGCGTGGCGAGAGGACGACGAGAGCGCGTGCTGCAAAATGTGCTTTGCCATGTTCACGAAGCTCTCGCGCCGACGGCACCACTGCCGCGTGTGTGGCGAACTCGTGTGCGGCGGCTGTTCCCAGGACTTGGTCGCGCTCACGGACAAGTTCCCGGCGCCTCGTCGGGCCTGTGTGGCCTGCTGCAGTCTGCTCCAAGCCATGGCGCGAGCGGGCGACGACCGGGTCAAGGTCGTCGAGTCGGACGGTGCCAGTGCCGCTGCCTTCACGAGACACCACCACTCGGCTCCTGCTGCAGCAGCCACTTGTCACTCGCCGTCCATGCCCACACCCACGGCAACGCCTCGCTACCGCGACCGACTGACGGAAGTCCATCGAGTCATGGCAGCGGGTCAGTTGTCACGTCGTCGGGCGAGTGCCGAGAAGAAAATGTTTGTCATTAATAGCCGCTGGCTGCGTCGATGGATGGCGTTTACGTCATCTGCTTCGAGCTCCGACGCGCGCTGCAGCTTGGACTACGGGTTCAGCACGGACATGTCCATCTCGTCCCCCAGGAACGTCGATACGGCCAGCGAGGGAAGTGCTCCTGGACCTATTGACAACATGTCTCTGCTCGAACTCTGTCGTGGCAAATTGATGCGTCGCCCCGGTCTTGTTCGAGATGAGGCTTTCTCTGGCGATGCAACAAGCGCGGGTGAAGATGCGGATTTCCAGTTGATTTCTCCAGAAGTATGGGAAGTCTTCCAACGTCTGTACGGTGGTGCTCCTGCGATTTCCGTCAACTTGACCTGTGCCGATCCTATGGCATGGATCATTGACGTCTCGGGGCTGCTAGCAGCTGGTGCGAACGCCAATGGCACTAAAATTCAAGTGCCTCCTGCTGTTGAGCGTGCGTTGACTGCTCGTCATAAGGTCGGGATTGAGGTCGCGAGTGTGAGGGATGGGTCAAGCCGGGGCCGGACTCCTGCGGGATCAGGTTCGCATCGATCAGTGGACAGTCGCTGCACGTCATCGAAGAAAAAGCCGCAGCCGCCCAAGAGTCCGGCGGAGACAGTGACCAGTAGCAGCAGCAGCAGTTCATTAAGTGAAGAGAAGGAGTGCACTCCGACGAGAAGCGGCAAGATGCAGCTGGAGGACTTGGAATCAGACGTTGCAGCCTTGTCTATCGATGTGATCAAGGCCCCGTCCGAGGATGACGACGACGTAAGGGCTACTACCTCGGCGCGTAGTCCGACAGCTGCATTAGCAGCTTCGGCGTTTGCCGTTGCAATGAAGCAGGCGAGACTGAATGCGCAGAAGGCCATTGACGATCGTGCGTCGCGCGTTATTGCAGCGTAGAATCGATGTTGTGAGATGGTGTTGTTTACGAAGCAAGTCTACACACGTGTAGGCAACAAACTCGTACCTTTATCTATAAAGCATGCTCTTCAAGGATACCAATGCCATGTAATGGCGTTTACAGGATTGCGAAGACGTCTGAAGCGCGTAAGGTTGACCTTGAATTCGACCTCGACAGGAGGATATCGGTACGCTGAGAATCGATTGCTACTTGTCCGTCTGATACTTGTCGACTCGTGTACACGGTGCCATCTAGCACAACGACTTGCACAGTAACTATTTAGGAAAACTAGGCATCGCCATGACAGGTATCGTGTTTGGCACGGGTAGCAACCCCTACGGAGTCAATGAACAAGTTGAAAGAGCTCGATACGATTGTGGATAAAAGGCGTAGACGACGTGCAGATCATACAGCATTAACTATGAGTGCACAAGTTCAATCCGATGTCTTCACTGCAGGGAAACGTCCTGTTGTACCCGGCAGCTTGCGAGGTGACGTTGAGAGCAGAAGTGACGTCAAGACGACTCTGGGCAGCAAAATACTCTGGACGTATTTTTCCTTTCTGGCCGGCACACTATCTCCACAGTTGATTATGAATAAGTTCATTCGGCGGGTCCGCGTATACAAATGGAGATAGCTGCCGCTGGTCGTGTGAAGCATAGAGTGAGTGCTGAAGCTGGTACAAATGATTTGACATCGGTTTTGCTCTTGTGTCGTTAGATCATTCGAGTCCGTCATGACGTTACCAAAGCCTAGTGATACAGGCTACAGATGAGCGACGACATCGAGCGGTTGATGCTGTAAAAGCTTAACTGCGCACAGTTCTATCGACCCTTTTAGCAGCTATCTTCAACATTGCTGTGCGTCGTACTCAACTCGATGAAAGATCGTCGATACCTGCAGCCATTGTGTTATCACAGCGAATTAGACGGAGTGAGCTTGTGCCAGCGGCAGAAGTTACCGCGCTACTTGCTAGCCAACGCATTTGTGAACGGGGTTGGTACCCTGTGAAGTTTCTGCGCTATTCAATTGAAAGCAAACGATACGATTATTATTATCGGTTCATGCGCTTTTGTTGAGATGAATCTGATGCCGAAAGTAGTTGATCGCTTGCCCGGTAGTTGCTATAGCAGGCATTGAATCATTTGACAACGAATGCAAGAAGAAGAAAGGGTCAGCCTGAGTGTGAAGCAACGTTGATGCGGATCTCGAGGTTAACCCTTTCCTGCTGTTTTGGCGCAAGAGTGCATCGAAATGGACCAACAACACAATAGAGCTGGATTGTATTTTACATGCCACCGGCTTCAGCATGCGCACAAAGACTTCTTCTCTGTGGTATCATGCTTTTTCAGACACTGAACGATACTAGCTAGCTACAAAAACGACATTGCAGTTGCTACTTTGGTTTGATCTACGGCACTACGTTTACGATGCGATCAATGAAACTTCAAAGAAGACATACTGGTCGAGTCATTTCCACTACGCGCAGTACACGTCGGGCTAGACTTCAACGGATACCAACATTTGTTATGCTACAGTGTTGATTGCGACCAATGTGTCTTTCAGCTCCGCGACGCTAGACACACGAAACGTTTTTTCAGCTCGGATATAGCAGACTAACAACTCCTACAACGTCACGGTGTCTCAACTTACCTCTTTAGAACAACAAATACACAACTTCCGTAGTGATGCTGCCGTATCCATTAGCTACAGCAATCACGACAACATGGCATTGCGACCTGCGAAGTTGCCTCACTTTCACATCTCGTAAATTTGCGTAATCCTCCAGGCTGCAGTGTGGCGATTCTCTAAGCTGCTCGTTGCGACGGGACTACCACAATGTCACTCGCACATACTCGATGCTACAGCTTTAACGAGAGGCCCAAGCGACTGGCTCGTATGAATATGCCATGATTTGGTGCACAGCTGAAGTATATGTGTCCGTCGATTGTGCCACTGTTCTTGCCCATTTGCTCGCAAAGCTCGATGCCTACCCATGTACCGGTAGCAAAATGCGTCGTGCCAATGAAGCGCACCACTCCTGGTACGTTGCCGATATTGATTAGCTTGCCAATGCACGATGGTTCACCGTCGATGTAAACCACGTTACTCCCTGAATGACGGTGCGCTGCTGTTCCTTGACTTTCTTCTTGAGAGGCAGGATCCGTGACTGAGTTCGCTGAACCAAGGGTCCTTTTAGCAGAAGTTGCGCCTGAAGTGACTTCAGTCTTCGGAGGATACAGATCATTCACTGTGTAGATGGAGTCGCTTCGTCCACGACGTAGTAAAGGAGGATCGACGCTTTCGAACGGGAAAGGTTGCAGTCCGATTTCATCCTCGAACAGCTGCCGAGGGAAGCGAGTTGGTTGCTGCTGTGCAAGCATATCTCGTCGTTGTTGAAAGGAGAATTGGCTGATTGGAAGCGATAGACGTCCCAAGGGCTCTCCAGCTGCTCGTCGCTCCCGCTTTGTTCTGCTTGCCATTTCATGCGCGTCGTCGTGAAAAGCAGAACACTCAATCGGGACTTCGACCGGCTGGTTTTGAGGATCGAATTGAACCACACCCTTTCGTTGCAACGGAGAAGGAGTCCTGGTGCGCAGAAGAAGCGTCACAGGCCCATCGTTGTTGCTGCTTGGACGGATTTCAATTTTTCTGACATTGCTGCGCTCTTGAAGAGGTCTACTTCGAGTGCTTGCATTGCTGCTGCTGCTGTCACAAGCCCTTGTATCGTGTCGCAAGGATTGAGTGGGGTCGAGAGGCTTGCTGAGATTATGTGTTGGCTTGCCCCTTCGACGATTCTTCAGTTTGAGCTTCGAAGTCGACACGCTTTCATTTTCCGTTGCTTTCATCTGAGTTTGCTCCCTGTTGTCATCGCCTGCGTGGATGAAACGAGTTTTGCTCGTACAAGGCGCTGTGTCTCCCATCGAATTCATGGTACTCTCCATGTCTTGAATGAGCTCGTTGTAGGCAAAAGCATCGCTAGCACACGTGCTTGCTTTGCCACTGTACATGGACGCCACGCTTGTCGTGCGCGTAAACCTTTTCGAGTCCTTCACAGTTGCAGGCGCAGGAGGTTCTTTAGCGATACCAAAGTTGTATAAATCCTGGAGCTGCTTGTCCATCATCTGCGTCCCTTTGTCACGAGGAGATGAATTGGACTTTGACATTGAGGATTTCGCATTCCGTGCTGGTCGTTTGACGGACTCGAATGGTGTTGTCTCATTTTGAGTCGGGACGTACATCGTGACGCCGCCACTTCGTGATACCGTAACTTTACTCCTCGAGTTCTCGTTCTTTTTCACGTTCGCTACCGGACTACCGTGGCGTTCGTCAAGCCAAGGAACATCTCGACGTCCATTCATTGGACCGCGGGTAAATGGGGTGCGACTTGACTGCGGTCGTTCCGTCACCAAGTCTGCAAACTCAATAAATGACTCATTCGCATCCCCACCGTCGTCATCTGCCACAAAATCCAAGCTGGAGACCATCCTCCCCGTACAGTCAATACACTTGGTGGCATCCCGCTTCGTGTGTTGCGAGGCCGGAACGAATTGTAGCGAGACTTGGAGTAGCCCAGCATTGCTCCCTGCAAGGGGCAGCCAATGCGGAACTAGACAAAAGTTCTCGTCATGGTCACCATCCAATCCGTCTTCGTCTAGAGCATCAATTTGGGGTGAGAGCAGCAAGTCTTCCAGTGGCACACTTGCCGAACCGACGAGTCGCTCGCCGCACACTAACTCAATGTCTAGTTTGTATTCGCCAAGGTGAGCTGCAACACTGAGCCAATCCCTCGGCACTCCTTCCGGCTCCTTCACTGCCCAAGCAAAGTGTCCGCCCGTGCCGTCACGAAGCCTGTTGTCAGCATGACGCCACACTGGATTCCTCATGTCTTGATTGATGTTGCGGGGCGAGATCTGCACCGCTCCTAGGAAGTCGCACCTCACTCGGATCCCGTGCTTGGGCAGCGTCATGTCTCCAATCGCCCGTGAATCCAACAGACGACAAGCTTCGTACACCCAGACATGCAGCTCGCCTCTCGGCAGGCAGTCACTCAGGCGATCCGACTGATCAATTGATCTTGACATGGCAAGCACCACAGGTTTGCCAGGGGTACAGCACGACGTTCGACTGCTCTCGAGGATCGGCAGGTCGTCGTACTCATAGGCTACAGCGCCGTCTCCATTCGACGACACGTCCGACCGTTTTGGCCGGAGCATTGTCACGAGTTCGTACGTTAGCGAACGCTTTGGGTCTCCTACTACTGCACGTCCATTGACCTCTACGTCCTCATTTACATGATTCATTGACGTCGGCTGCAACCGATTCCGTTGGCCTGCCACCTTAATGTCAAGAGGACGAATAACTTCAGACAGAGCCGCCTCGACATGCTCACTCGACAGCATGTGCCTAACACTGCACACTCGGTAGTGACTATTGTTTCGAAACTTTCACGGTCGTAGAACGTTAGTCGTGGCCGCTAGTAATTTGCGCATGACAAGAACAAGACAAGTCGAAGAATAGGAGGAATCGTTCTAGTGAAGAGATCGGATACCAGGCGAGTGAGCAAAGTGTTCAGGTAGTTTTTCACGTCAACGTCGATCCCGGCTATGTTCTACACAACGTAACCCACGCCTCTTGCTTTCATCCAGCCATAAGCTTACGTTATGGGCGTTCGTATACTACTGATGGCCAAAACGGACGTGACTGACGGGAGGTCACGGTATTGACACATTCTACGGCCGTCTATCGCGATGGAGCAGTTGTAGTGCAAATGCAGTACATCCCTACTTCTCGATCGCATGACCCTCCAATGCGCTTATTGTTCGAAGGATCGTACTGTTGGCCGGTCACTAGAAACGAACGTGCGAGACATGGCTTCGTTAAGGCCAAGAGTGTAGTATACTGTGCGGTTAGTCTGCCACTATCTGCCCACACGAAGATTACTGTCTTTTACAAGAATGCGCCGTACCATGTTGCGGGGACAAGATACTTGGCAACTGATTCGACTTCCGACCGTGTTCAGGCGCAAAGCAAGTACTAGAATATTCCACGAGCCAAGGTCGTGATGGTTGTACCACGACGAGGTAGCCGCAGCAGGACTCAAGCTTGTGCCGCTATAATTTGTCCCGACCCTTCGATATACTGTGTATGCACGCATTTTCACTCAGCCCATAGAATCAGAGCACTGATGCTTGCATTGTTTGTAAGGTTGATTTTATTTTCGCCGCGCCATTTCCAGAGATCAAGAGCCAGGTATAAAGTGTGCCATTAGGTCATTGTGCACCGTGACTTTTTTGTGTGTGCTGATAAGCCTGGACTCTATGTCAACGTTTTACTCGCATCTTCAAGGACCCAGAAAAAGACCGTGTCTTCGCAAGGTCATGTCAGTAGGCACGGTCTGCTTTTCGAAGAACAACAGAGTGACGAAGCAGAGAGAGCAGGTAGAAGTGTTTTGAAAGTTGCGGGTAGTAATATCTACTTCAAACTTATTAACGCTTACGTTGACACATGGAGTACGTAGTCCATAGTTTTATGCGCCAGGCGACCTGGTGTTAAGACAATATCCAGTGCACAAATTACGAAATTGTCGTACAATCGTAGCGCTACGTTCTTGTCGTTCATGACGGTGTCAACCATGTCTGGCTGTCTTCGCATGGATTGATGATGCTTACTAGTCATATGACAGTATGATTTCTTGCGTGCCAAAGTGCCGTCGCGAAGTTTACGTGGGTCAATGGCAGGTCGTCAGAGCTAAAACTTACTTCTGCCGTTCAAGTACCTCGACAAAGTAGGCGTAAACATTTCAAGTGTCTGGGAACCGCTACTTGCCTCAAAGTAGCGCACGCTTCGATGTTTTTACAGCAGCTGTAGGCACAAGTCCCACGTTTCAAGCTTGTCGGCGCTTGAAATACAGTAGCTCTGCGTTGAGTCAAAACGACGTGACAAATGAAACACCCTGTCGTACGTCAGTTTCAGCACAAATGTACTACCAAAAACTCTAACGAGCATTAAAAATTCCCATATTATCGGAGTAAATAAGCTGTAGCAACGTCAAACCAGGTGTGACGGCGGGTTTGAACGCGGTGCTCCAGTCGAAATCGTGGCCGTCGTCTGACTCTCGAACTCTCGAAAGTCTTCCAAGATATGCAGCAAATCTTGATGTACCTGGGCGCTGCTAGGTCTGCACTCAGGTTTGTAGCTAGTGCACGCAGTCACCAGCTTCACGATACTTTTCGGACACGACGGCGACAATGTGGGAGATAGCGCACCCCTCGCAATCAATTGCAAAATGTCCGTTTCTGGGACAGCTGCCTTGTTCGCCTGCATCAAGTCCGAGAAAGGAAGCTCGTGTGAGTCCATCTCAGCAATCAAGATTCCAAGCGAGTATACGTCGCCGGCATCCGGGTACGACGTGCTTGTCTCACGCCCCAAAAGCGCTTCGGGTGAGATCCAACGACCCGATCCTACAGCACTGTACGACATGAACTCTTCCTCAGTAAGGGCGTCGGGTCGTCCATCCTGGCCAAAGTCGCTCAGCTTAGCACGCAGCGACTGGTCCAGCAGAACGTTCCGCGAGTTGCAATTGCCATGCACCAAACGTGGCTGCATCGAGTGGAAGTAAAGCAGAGCCTTACTCACGTCCAGCACCATATTCACTTTAAGATACGACCATTGACCTGACTCTTTGCCTGCAGTACGACGAAGCCACTGCCGGAGATCACCTTGAGCCATGTACTCTGTAACACCACACAGATGCGTCTCAAGAGACCAAGCTACACCGATGAAGGTCACCACTTGCGGATGTGAGAACAAGGCTTGCCGCTTTAATTCGCGCTTCAGCTTATCCCGTGCACTTCCATCACCATCATTAGATGAGCATAGTTCTTCGTTCCCCTTAGGAGCCAGATATTTTACCACCACTAAAATTTCATTGATGCCTCCTCCAGGTGATACTGCTGTGACAGACGCGTCGTTTATAGCAAGAGATGCCAACCAGATCTCGCGAGGATTCATGGCGTTCATGATACTCTGTTTTCGTAAACTTCGACGCTTTTCAGTTGACAGCAAGTTGAGACACTTGAGCATATTCAGGCGCTTAAAATCCAACCGCCATGGCTGCAGCTCCTCACTTACCCAAAATTGAGAGCTGCTGACATTCAACGGCTGTTTCTTCCGTCGCTGATGAACGCGAGGTGACGGAGAGGGCAGTGGCGAAGTACTCGAGTCATTTGTCGTATAGCGGCTCTCGTCACTATCGTGCGTCAAGTGTCGCAACCGGTTGTCTGGCACTGCTTCACGTACAGCGCCGTTCTCGCTACAATATCGACCGTACGTCCGCATAAAGAAAACGAAGAGCCCCATCTTGTACACGAAATAGAGACAAGGCAAGCTCACGCTGAGCATCACAAGTGTCGGTATCTCGTCATCATCATCCTGCGTCGATCCGCTTTCTAATCCACTTCCATCCGACCCCAAGCTTTCAAAAATCACCAGCCGTCGACGGAGCCGTCGATCTCGAGTCACGCACACTGGCCACCCACTTAGTCTCTGCACAGTGCCTCCTTTTCCATCCGCACACGCTCTCGCCTGCGCTTCCTCCACATGCACCTCCTCCGCCCCCTCTCCCACAACTTGACTGCGTAGTCGCGACCACTGCCTGTCGCTGAGTTCCAATAGCGCGTGCGGTGCTTTCGTCCATAAATTCTCGCGCAGCACAAGCGTCTCGAGATGAGGCACCGTGAGCAACCACTTCACAGGCACTTGAGCCAGGACACAGTCAGTGATCTGCACGTGCTTGACCGACCGTGGGAGCGCAGGGAGCGTCGTCCTCAAGAGGTTCAGCCCCGAAAGGACCAGCGAAGTCAGTCGTCCAGGAGCCGTCCAGAGCCTCGTCACGTCGAATTGGACGTGCGTCTTCTTGTGCCCCTCGAGCTTCAGCGTCTGCACTTCAGTAGCAAGTGAGAGATCGAGTGCCCCGAACGTGCAGCGGTCGGTGGCTTCCAGCGCCACGCGCCACTCGAGCGACGTCTCGCCTGGCGTCAGAGCGAGACAGTCGCGGCGTCCTCCAGTGGACGGGACGAGACACAGCGACGCGTTCAAGTGGCAGTGGGCGAAGCAGTCGCGACTCGCGGTCCAGTCGGAGGCGTGGGCGGAGGTGACGAGCGTCGCGAGGAGGAAGACGAAGACGACGCGCTTCCGTCGTCTGGGCTGCATCTTAGCGACTCACTCGCTCGCTCACGGCCGAGCAAAGCCTGTCGCCGGGTCGCCAGCTGATGGGCGCTGGATGGCGTAAACGTGTGTGACGCGAAAGACCTGCGAAACTGTATAGTTCGGTGTGCGAGAAGCGAGCGGGATGAGAAGGAGGTGTGGATGTCGACACACACCTTGGGCGAGGAAAAAGAGCGGACTAGGAAGATCTTGTGATACCTTATATATTACCGACGAGAGGAGTCAGCTGGCGCAGAAAATACCGACTTGATCCACCCATCCGTGAACGCGTGGATAGGGCACGGTCTAAATCTGGGATCTACTAGTGACTTGCCGTTGGCTGCCAGATCTCGACGCTCTGAAGTGGCGCAATCAAGGTCCAGAACACGTGGCTGGAGCCATGCACTTTGATCTTAAGTGCTCCCGTCGAAAGAATTCAGCCTGTATCATGGTATAACCTCTAGTAGATGATAGAAATAGGTGTTTTCCGACCTCGTCATTGGCGGCTAAGTAAGGAATATCATGCTCGCGACAGTATTTTCTCGAAGTGGAAATTAGCCTATTACCGTGAGAATGTGAATTTGAACTTTCTTAGACAAACTAATTCTGTTCTGACTCGATTTGGCATCAGAAGATGCGTACGAAAAACACAACCTTCGATAAAAAATCTGAATGGTGCTGTGCGTTCAGCACATGTTGAATTAAAGAACCGTAGAGCCCTACAGGCAGTCCAATAAATACATGTGTACTGGGATATGAAAAGTGGGGGCATCACGTTGGCCACGATCTTTTTGGACCTGGTGAACCTTTCTACACCGGGTCCACGATTTTTAACTGGTGAATTGTGCTACCGACCTCTTATGTGAGCCCGAAGGGTGAAGCTGTTAGTGACTCTGCGCAAGGTAAATGCCGAGCTTTCTTAACCGTACTTGACTGTCCGTCTTCGTGTCTGTCTGTGAAAAACGCTAGGAGTACCATAAACGTCTCGCTACGTAGGACTTCGTCTTTTTAGAATACCGCCTGGTGTAACTTTCACGTCGCGCTAAGTGCAGTTTAGTTTGTCACCGTATGTGTTCCAGAGTAACTCTTGGTGTACCTGACACGTTGTATTAAGTGCGATTGAGCATGCTCCCTCATTTGTATGCGTCTGTAGATTAACGCTTGATCTACCTTACACGCCGTCCTAAGTGATATTTGCCATTTATCGCCTATTCCATGTTATAAGGCATCACCGCGAGCCCGAGGTGAAGCTAACAGTGACTTTTGAGCGCAAGGTAGTTAAATATACAGAACTTGGTTCAGCTCTATGAACTAAAAATACTTAAATGAGAGAGCATGCTCCAGAGCCTGCTCCCCATATCTCAGATCAACCCCATGCTATGATCTTCGGTCAGGTATGACTGAGCGCCTTCGTCCTCTTACAGTGTGATTGTATAGAATTAATTTGGAATGCTGGACACGCACATGATTTATCTCAGGTTTACTTCCAGCTCCACTCCTCTCTAATTTCAGCCTCCCTGATCTCTTTCAAAACAGCTTAGATATTCTCCATCCATGCCAGTCGGATACGTAAAAGGCTTAGCAAACAGCTCTGTGTCGATGTTATAAAATTGTGGCTGCCAAGAGCTGGGTCCAGCAGCTACCGCTCAGCGCATCGCACTTATTTGGACGACTTTATAGATGTTACTAATGTTCTCGTGCTCAACAACATTTGAAGCATTCTTTAAGAATAGCGACGGTAGCCCTACTTACGCGCGGAGATAGATCTGACGTGCATTTGTTGGAGCTGTGTCAACATAAGTAGTAAGTCTCATCCTTGACTCTGGTAATTTGTGATTCGTGACGGAGCACATTTACTCCTTTTGTGGCGCTAGCTGACTACAGAAACCTTTATTTATAAACGATCATCTTGTAAGTATTGTATGGCATTCCCATCAATCACACTTACAAACGAATGCAAGCAAATAATTATACGATGTTGTGCAACCAGAACCAGTCATTAAACCATGCAGATTTTAAAAAGCGCCGCAACACGTAGACTCAACGAGTATACGCCGGTTCTACTGTTACGATGTTGCAAAAAGAAGAGCAACGGGCTAATAGAAGGAAGTTCACAAGGTCCTGCGCATAGTGCGCCTGGGCCACCCGTGTCGCAAATAGTTAAATTGGCCTCTTAAGTGCTAATGCCCTCTGCCGCATCACTATGGTCCAGGCTAGACGAGATTAAGGATGACTCGAGATAAAGTGTGAATACGAGAAGACTAACCAGTGACTATTTCGATGATAAAAGGTGTCTTTTGACTGACATTATGCAGTGCTGCCAGGCCCTGGTCGTCCCGGACGACATACCCGTATTGTTGACAGCCGAACGGTGCTCTCTCTCATCCTTCGCACGTATGCAAGCACCTTGTGCGAGCTCTTTGGTAGCCTTACTTCAGCAATGGAAAGGAAATGCTCAAAGCAGAAGAGACTGGAGCTTGCCCTTGTGAACATTCAAGATGCAACAATATGATGTCCAGTGGCAGAGAGCAGCAGCACAAACTGGTCTGCTTGCGTGCAACCTGGGGTCCCCATGATTACCGAAATGGTCGGGTTCATCGACAAGAAAAATGCCAAGGTGGTACAGCCAATAAAAGCGATTAGCAGAATGATCTCCTTGATGGATGGATCCACACCGTCTCAATTACTGTAACGCTGCATTTGATGCTGACGAATGCATCTTTTACGAAATGACAACTGCCTGAGATCGTAGAACGATGAAGAAACTAGCAGGGGGTCTGCGACTAAGTTCTCATACTTCTCTAATCTTTTACGGCCACGGTGTGTTGGCCGACTTCGCATTTCCCGTTTCCGGAGACATGAACAAACAAAATAGAAACCCGTTGGATCAAGGGGACTTGGAAAGAGAAATCCATGCTGGCGGGGATGGGATGCGCATAAAGCTAAACAACGCAGTTATTTTTAATTGGCAGTCTGCTGGGTGGAAGATGGGAGCAGTGGAAAATGCTTCCGGCGATTGTCTTAGCCAAATTCATACAATGGGGAGGGTCGCCGACAACGACTAAGGAATATTCATTGGCTGTACAAATATAGCGACCGCCGGACAAATGTTCATCCGGATCTGCATTGTATTGATACCGATCGTGGTGAACGCATAACGGTGAACAACGTAGACGTTACCCGCATTGTAATGGAGCACCGACGACTACGTACTGGTCAACCAGTACGGAGTTAACTTTCACTGACAACAGTGAAGGTCAGAGCCTGCTAGGTTTAGACACTAGACAGAGGAAGTTAAACGAATGTTTTCCACGTAGCGAACATGGCCAATTCCGCTAATTCATTAAGTGCCAAAAGCCGTTTAATATGCTCTTCATGCAGCGACAGGGTATCGAGTTAAGCTAAATTATACGGGAGGACTTGCGATGCTACTACTTCAAAAGCTGCTTTTGTACAACATTGTCAGATTATATTTGTTGGCATCGCAAAAAGCTTCTATGAGCCTTTTTTTATTCATTGCATCTGCTACTTGTTAAATGTGTCATGAGTGCCGTGGACAAATTTATCTGCAATTCTGGGTGGTCGCCCGTCCCTCCTTTCTATCTTGATATCTTCTTCTTCATTCATTACTTTCAACTTTTCTCTTCTGCGCTGTTATTACCTCTTCGTCTCGTAGCGCATCCGCTCATCATGTCTTTTTGCCCTTTTTGTGCTTATTCAGTCTCCCATCTTTGCTCGTACGCGCTTCTTTGCTTGCGGTCATTACTCAGATGATCCATTATCAGCTCGATCATCGTGGTCATGGTGGCGACTATCTGCATGGCGTTGCTATTGGCCATGGTTTTTAATCTGATGGCCTGATCCAGTTTATACGTCTACGAGCGCTGACTTACATCTGTGGTATCGGACATTCCTGACAGTCTAGCTAGTAGAGGCGAAGTAAATAAACTTCTTGTAACGGGGGCGTATGAAATATTCTGAATGCAAAAATGTATGTAGTTTTCCAATGCCGACATCCCCATCATCTTCAACGGCGTTAAGCGCAGTTTAGCAGCTTCACTCGGACTATTCTCGGTGACCAGAAATGTAACGGGGCTGCATAAACGGTTGTGATAATCAGGTAATTTGGTGTGGCTCACAAATAAAGAGATCAGTGTCACTGATAAGGCATATTTTTGTATCACATATGCTAAGCGACAATACTGTACCCTAGCAGTTATGGTGGAGGGCATCTTCCGTAATAGGGTCTTCGTAGAGGCGACTTGATTCTGGTGTGGTACATCAGAAGAACTAAGATGAGGAATATTCGACTAGGTAAAATAGTTTCAAGATAAAAGACGTAACTAAGGTTTATTATCGCTATTATTAGTAAACAAGTTCAGTTTCCCTTGTGATCGGTTTGAGAAACGTGTCTTTATAAGACGTCTCTGGTCGTAAGAGTTAAGTACCTGAGTTAAGGCTAAATACTCTTTGGTATTAGTTCTATGTGATTATTTAATGTCGTAGTCACCTGAACCAGGACTAGAAGCGTAAGAGCTTGTACATACACTTATAATTAAGTCTTACCAATTCTGCATGGCTTGTAACCGTTTAAGTTAATAACCCCTTAGTTTGATGTGCTGAGCGATCCGTCCCGAATTCTTCCTCTGAGTAATGAGCTAGGGTTGTAACGGGGCACCCTGAAGCTTGTACTGGTGACAGTACAAGCTACTTATTCTGATAACAGAATAAGGCGGTGCCTCGTAACTTCACGTACACTCGTACGTGCAGAGGAAGACGGTAAGAAGAAGCGAGTACTTGGTTAGAGTAAAAAGTAGAACTGTATTTATAATAGTTAATGTCTGCAATAAATCACTATTTATCTTCATCTAACTATGTCTAAATACAAATGTGTAAATCAGTTATCTGCTCACCACTCATTGCGTGCGTCTGTCGTGGCGCGTCTTCGTTGGTTGATATAATGGCCTATATCAACCAATTAGAAACTACTTGGAAGTGCTACAGAA